GGTGAGGTGGATGGGGCATGAATACTGTCATGATTGCCAAGACAAATTCCTTATGGTGCTTTGGATGTGATATCATTTGGAAAAGGGGGATATCTTGCATTAATTGCTATGGAATTAAGGGAGCCTTCATAACAAACAAATTTTACACTAAAATGATGATCTAAAGGCATTTTGCAGTAAAAGAGAAACTTTACTTCTTACACAGCTCTACAGGCCAAGCACCAAATATCACTGCTCCACTACAGACCCTGCAGATCTGAAATTAAGCTCATGCTCAAAAATCTTTTTCCATCTCTGTTGGAGAGGCAAGATGAAAATAAATGCAGAGCTGCTGAGAAACAAACTATTCTATTCTTTTCATGTCTGTGGGATAGGAGGAAGAGAGCTGCCAAGGTGCTCTCACCTCATTACCTCCTTCATGTGCTATTGCCAAGATGTCATCAGAGACCTTTGAGTAAAACCAACAGAATAATTCATGTTTACACACGACTTCAATGGCATCAGCAACAGGTACAGGAGCTGCAGTCTACAGCAACAGAGGCTGCCAGTGTCTTAAGCAAGAATATTATTTGTTAAGGCAAAAGGATGTTACAAAATGATGAACTTCTACTCCTTATTCCACAAAAACGACACTTACTCATAAGACTGGTGCTATTTTTGTCTTGCCAGAGCAGGATGAGGAACATGCACCCTGTTTCTGAAGGCCTTCCCCTCTAACAAAGGGAAAAGATAAGCCAAGGATGCACCGGGGCTGTTGTATCAGTGCTTGCCTGCCAATGTGATTAGTAGTGTTAACCGCAGTTTTTAAAACACAAACCAGGTAAAAAGAAAGAAGAAAGCAGTTACACCACTCATTTTGAATGTGGAGTAGTCAGACTGAGGAAGAAAGGGCTGAACAGTGAGCAGTTCCCAAGGAAGCCCCTGAAGCACAGGCTGTGAGAGCCTGCCGGAGCCACACAGGGTGAGCAGCCAAGCCCCAGCAAGGCTGAGCCCGCTCCTGCTCCACTCACCCACCCCCATTCACCTCTCCCAAGCGCCGGGCACAGACACGACCGCACAGCGCTGCAACA